GAAATCTCATTCTCTGTATTACGAATTTCTTCAAATAATTCACTGTAAAGTGTTTTATTATAATGTAGTGAATAGAAAACTCTATAATTTTTGATAGGTTATGGTTCAGATCTTTTCCCCTAGCAATTAATTTTTGATAGGTTGGTCTAAACATACAAAATATAATAAAAAAATAAACTAACTATCAAGCTAGATAGAGTTTGGATTAGTAAGATTCATGATAAGGGAATCATCAATCTTCTGGAGGTTTACGCAAAAATGGAGATTCACATTTTTATCTACCCAATTATTTGAAGAAATTCGTAATACAGAGAATGAGATTTCTCAACATAAAGATATACTTTTAAGTAATAAAAAAGATTTAGTGCATATAAATTTCAGAATTCTACAAGCACAAAATAAACTTACTCACGAATATATACCAACCATGGTTAATATACGTAAGTACCTCCTTCATAGGCAAAAAATGCATCAAGAACACCTTGATAAAGCTTTAAACTCAGTTTCAGAACTCAGTGAACTCATTAATCAATAATATCATTGATCAATAATATCATTGTAAACATCCCAAAGATTTGGTCTATAATGTTTTTTCCTTTTGCAGCCATCCTATAATATCAACAACGGATGGCTCAGACTAGTCCCATACAAACCCCACTTTTCAGAGAGGAGGAGATTAACCATTTTTGCGTAGCGGCTGTATAAGAAGATATGTTTAAGAAGAATACTCCTAACCGCGTCCCTTCTAAGGCTGTAAAGTGTTTTATTATAATGTAGTACCATTATAAACAATAACTTACAGGTTTCATGACTCTATTTTGTAAGAACACTCAAGTATAACAAAACAAAGATTTATTGATAAAAGAGCTCCCGAAATGGGAGTACTCCTATTGGAAAGAAAAATTATAATAAGAAAAAGTATAAAAACAAAAAGAAATTCAAATCTTTTTGGAAAAAGAAAAGAAGAAAATTTTCGCCTGCACAAAGTAGCAGGTTTCATCTTTGGTGTTCCCTTCAGGCACATCAACAACAAACGACTCCACCACTAGAGTCCCTGGCCTCCCCCCTTCAGTCATTTCTGGGTGGACTGAGATAATTGAAGAGTAATTCTGCATCAAAACTTATATATATTTTTTTAATTTGTACAACATATATTGCATTAATTATTATAAATATAAACAGAGCTGCATTTGATTACGCACCCTCAGCCTGTGATCCCCACCAATAATCCGGATGCTAAAGATATGCTGGTCGTCATCAAGGAGTTCCAACCTCTCTGTGCTTGTGGTCGCAGGAAGACCCGACTTAACATCAACTTCTCTAAGACTACCAATCTCAAGATTTCCCTCAGCAACAACACATCTGCTAACAAATGGCTTGTACTTTTGTGGTTCATCAAATCTTCTCACCAAAGACCAAACCTATAAATCAAATCACAAAAATTAAACAAGATGAAGATCAAACATATCCATCAAGGAGCCACCCGTGTGAAATGAAAACTACCATCATACTTCAGCTGTAATTAATTTCGGAAAAAAGGGTTCTAACAATATCTCATCCATCTTACAATCAAAATCAAGCACAAGTCATCAGTCAAGCAAATGATCCATGAAACGCAGCTGACCCACAACAAAATTCCTCCCCTCAAAACCATCTCTCATTTCTCTAAAAACAAGTATGTATGATTCTGTAGAGTTGTCATCGCTCCAAAATGCTTGCGTGATTTCGTAAAACAATGGACATAAATAGATAGATGTAACGAATTATATTTAGTGAAACCACTTGTGTCTCATATGTTTAGGCAATACATGAAAGTTATATATGTATCCAAATTCCTACCCTTCTCGAATCTAATTCGTCACACGTTACTCGTCGTATAACTTATAAACTCATACAACATATATCTTCAAGATATTTGCGTAACGAGAACAGAACATCCTAAACGAAATTAAAATCTTCCGAGATCTGATCGAACACAACCCACGTCTTATCCACACACATTAATCTAGATAAGAATAAAAACGTAAATCCACATAGAGAAGAGAAGAATAATAAACATCTAGGAGGTTAAATCAGATGAATTACGAGATGAACAGGGGCCTTGATGTGCTTGAGGAGAACGGAGGTGCATTGATTCTCGGAAATCTCGTGCCTATGATGCTTCTTAATGTACTCCATCTCCAAACTGTTGTATCCATTATTCCCGCAGCTCATCTTTTACGAACAAACCTAATCAACACTACTCTACTCCTTCGTCTCTCTGGACAGAATCCGATCACAGACGAGATCCAGATACCTGAAACTAAAGGTGCGACTCAGAGATTCACCACCATGAGATTAAGAGAGCTGAGCTTCTTCATCGCGTGAAACTGAAAAGTCTCTCCTTTTGTCATCAAAATGTGTAGTTTATTGTTCGTCGTTTGCTCACCGTATTATCTCCAATGGAATTGCAAATGGCCTCCGATAAGTTACTAATTCCCATTTTGCCATCTTTTTTGTCGGCTTCTCTTTACTTTGTCTGGATCTGTTTGGGTGCCGTGGGGTAATCCCAAAAACTCATAATCCGACAATATCTTATTAATAACCATTTTATTCATACAATTAATATCTTAGCTCATGTTTCTTTGATGGATTTAGCAACCAAAATGAATTTTTGTAACATGATCAACTTACGAGAATAATATACAACTAATAAAACAGAGAATAAATTACATTTTATTTTCTGTGGTGTACATTCAAGTTTTAGTCCAACTTTTAAATGTTGACATTATTTGTTTATATAGTTTCAAAAGTTGTATACATGGTTCTTGATACTAACTCTATTAATTTGTATCTATTAAATACATATAAATTAACCATTATACATCTTTTTTATCATCTAAGTTATACTATATTGAGATTATTGATAATTCATGGACAATTCCTGAAATTATTTAAAAAACACAAAAATCATTTTCACAATATAGTGGTGAACTCGATACTAGAACCGAAATCGAAATGACATAAAATACAGACTTGAAGTACATGGTACGATACCAATACCAATTTGGTGGCGGTTCAGGAAAGTAGGTTTAGTTTAAACTTAGATGCAACGTCCCAAATTTCAAACTAAAATTTTCATTTCTAGAAAGGTATAAACAATGGTGCTAAAACCATTTTTCATAAAAGACCTAGGTAACGAATTGTTTTTGACAACCTCAAACCATATTATAAAATTTATCAATATCATCATAAAAACAACGAAAGTCTCAATTATGAAATCAACAACGATGCGCATGCGATACAGTCAAACTGATACTTCAATCAAACAGTAGAAGTACCTACAAAATATTTAATCTACAACCATAAGCATAAAGATTAGTGAGTTCCCTAAAATACCACATACCATAATACACATACAATGCATACAAACAAAGGCTCTCGACTCTAGTGTCAATCAACTTGAACAAACAATGACTAATGCCTCTAGTGCACATCTAGTCATAACGATGACTAACAACTCTAGTGCATGTTTAGTTATCCTTGTGGTTAAAGGCTCTAATGCACGTCCAACCCTGACACGAGTAATCTAGGCCCTCGACTCTAGTGCCGATTCACCATCAACTCCTCAAACAAAATATGTCAGCATATTATATAATCAATCAAACAAACAATCAACTGGAAAAAGACTATACTAGCCTACTTGCCTAATTAATGTAACGCCCGCAGACTCAGGGTAGTTAATTTAGAGATAATAAGGGTTAAAAATGACTTTTTGATAGAAGATTATTTAGGACAAATAATATTAACAAAATTTATAGTATATGTGACAAGGATTTCGAACATATAAAGAACGCTAAAATCCGACTTCGTATGAAGAAGTTATGCTTCTTCGAAGTTTCGCGATTAAACCAACACGACTCTGCGTATCGTAAAAAGTAAATTTTTGAAAAATTACCTTTTAGCCTTAGTAATATAAACGAAAGTCATAGTATTCGTTAAACCGAGAGCGTCATAAAGAGAACGTCCAAATCTGACTTCAGTAGAGGAAGTTATGATTTTTCGAAGTTTCAGTGTAGTAGTGCGAGCACAGAAACCGCATTCTAGATCGGTCGATTTTTAGCCGAAATGATCTAAATGAGAACTGAAGATCTCATTAACAGGAGTTCAACGATAAAAAGACAATCGAAAACGGAATCCATATGTAGAAGTTATGAATTTTACACGGTCATTAGCAGTGTAATATTCTCAGACTATTAAACTTAAGATCGGTCGAGAATTAGCCGATGGGGTCAAAAGAAAAGTTGTAGTACTCAGAAATAACTACACATGGATATAAAGAACGTCATAAATGGATCCCGTATACGAAAGTTATGAATTTTTGAAGATCTGCAGTTTACCTGCGTCCAGTGCCACGTATCTGCACCAGAGACGAAGCATTGGTGCTACACATGCTCACGAAGTGAGAGCCATGTCTCATGGCCTGAGAGCCCTCATGGGCAGCCTATAAATAGAGCATAATTTCACTCATTTCTTCACACCTTTCCATTCTATTCTCCCCCCCAAGGCATCAATGCCTTTCTCTAACACTTCCTAGGTGTTAGTAGCGAAGCTCCGGAACGTCAGAAAGCCCCGAGAAGTAGAGCTTTCGGTTTAGAAGTTATGCCCGTACAAAGTCCGTTTTCTCGCTAAATCACCTGTAAGTTGAGTTATGCTTATCGTACTTTAAGTATAACTTATTTTTAAGTTCATTATCGTTATTATGAACCTATAAACAAGATTTATCAGTGATTCCAAGTCATTATACTGATTGATCTACTTACGGGAGAGGTGTCTAAAATGGTCACGTTGGCTTGATTGTTGGATTTCAGAAAAGCTATATGCCGAAATGATCCTGCTTCCCAACTGTCTTGCCTGGTGATCCTTACTTGACTCAGAAGGAAGAGATCGTTGCCCGGGATCCATTTGATTTTCATGTCAATTTTTACTTGACATCACAAAATCCCTAAAATTAATTTTCTTTTTTCTTTATCTTTGGCACACTCTTACACAAAAATCCTTGTGATTTTTCCATCTGGTTTTAAATTCCGAATGGCTACATTTATTATGAGAACAGGTCATGATCTTCAAGTTGGTGAATTGGTTGGTGAATCTGAAATTAGTCAAAACTGAAACGACGGTTGTTGGAGATAAGATTTTAAATCAGGCGCGTATTTTTGAAAATCCCTGACATCATGCTGTCTGTTACAACGGATCTGACATATTGATGAGCTGTAGCTGTTTTCACGGCCACTTTTACGGGGTACTGGAACGTCATGTCGCGATTTTCTCTCAACACTCATACCACACCGTATAAAAGGGATTTGACGGTTCATTTTCTCTCATCGCTCACACAGTATTCCAAGAACCCTCAAATCAAAAATCGCAAACGCTCTCTACTGTTCATCATCGTTCTCGTTGCTCAATGGCCGGATCATCAGACACTGCTTCTTTCGCCGATCAATCCGCCTCCGTCATCATGCTGAATGTCAAGCCAAACCAGAACCTCATTCTCGATCTCGACTCATCTCGCTATAATGAAGCTCTAAGGCACATGATTGAATGCTTAAGGTTCTCACCACTGGCTCAAGCTTTAACCATGGCAGAATCAGTTCCCTTGGTCCATCTTTCTAAGGCTTATTCGTCTGCCAACTACAGTCAACCTGATGAGGTTATTCATTTCGAGGTAGCTTCTCACAAGACCTCGATGTCCAAATCTCGTTTCTGCAAAATTTTAGGGTTTGCTTCATCTGAAGGACTCGTGGATCCATAATCAATTTCAACTTCTGCACTCATCAAAATGTTTTACCAGATGGGATACATTGGAGATATATCCTTATTGTCAAAGTTCAGGAAGCCCTTTATTCCTCCAATGTGGAATGGGTTATTCACTCTCCTGTTTAAGAGCTTTTCTAAATGAGTTGCAGGCTCTGACAGCGCAAGTAGGCTATTCTATACTATCATCTATGGCCTTTACCATGGAGTAAATCTTGATTTTGGTTCTATCTTGTGGACACAGCTTATCCAAAGCACCGTTTCCACCACTCGCTACACAAAGATATCATGTGCTCGCTTTTAGTCTATTGTGGTCAAAGTGCCCTAGGCCACTTCCAGTTCCACCGATGGAGAATTCCATAATTGCTGCCATTCTGATTCTACAAACATCAACATTTATGATGTCCAATCCATTCAAATTCAGCTTTGTTGGTTCTATTCTAGAAGTGATGTTGGAAAAAGTTCCCACAGACAATGCAATTATGAATGAATATCACAAGCAGCCTACATCTGGTGTGAAAACTCCAAAGAAGGTCAAGAAGCAGGCTAGGAAACCGAGATCTCCATCTCCGGTTGCTCAGGAGGACTCGAAATCTTAAATGATTTCAGAAATTCGAGAGAATGTCTCAGTTCAGAATGAAGTTGAGGATACTGCTGCCACTTCAGAACCAACTCCCACTGAAACCATTCCGGAGGTATCATCTCCTATTCCTACCTCTATTCCTCTTACAAATGACTTATTTGTTAACACTCCACCATCCTTGCCTGTCACTACCATAATTCTGATCTCTTCTATCCCTCCTCTTCCTCCAAAGATTTATGTTGGTATTTCACAACCACAAATCTCCATTTCTCTTTCTACACCGTTTTTTATAGATTCAACCGCTACAACAACAACCACAGTAACCAGTACACCAGAAGTCACTGTCACCAAGTCCGTTTCGGAGGAGGTACATACTTCCGGCATTCATGTCAACGTATCTGATACGGGGGCAGATGTCAATTTTGGTGTAACTATGGGTCTATGCACCTCTACAGCTTCTCCATTACGTGACTATGATCCATACATCCTTTTTGGCAATGATTCAAAAGCCTTTACCGATTTTGTTTTTAGCCCCTTCAGGGTTAATATCAATAGTGATGAAGATGATGCCCCTATGATGAAAGGGCAGTTCAAGCAACTAAATGAGAAATTGGATACTCTCCTGGAGTCTTCCAAATATTCGTCTTTACCCAACTAGGAATATCCGTTAACCGCTCACAAGGCCACAGTGGAGCTGCTAACCAAAGCGAACGCCCAAGTCCTTGGAGAATTCACCAAGGCGATTAAAGCATCTGGATATACTATTTCCGAGACGACCGCAAAAGTCGAAGAACTATCTCAAGAAGTGCGAGAATTTATGGCTGAGTTCAGAACTGCGTCTGACTCCAATACCGAAGCTGTAAATAAAGTTATTGCAGGTTTTCAGAATTCTCTGCAAGCTGAGAACGAGGCACTTTTTATTGTTCGTTCCTAAATAAAGGTCGACAATGCCGAGCTAAACGCCTCTGTCCTTACAAAGATAGAAAAACCGCAGAAGGACTTGGCTGCTGAAAACAACCTTATGGATCAGTTGGCTGACAAGACTCAGAAGGCCAGAGT